GAACTTCCACGACCAACAGAAAAAACTAAAAGGGTTTGGTGGGCATTGACCTTGAGTTTGGGAGTTGCTGGGAGAGCACTGTGAACTCAAACAATGATATTTCTAGACCAAATGTGACACGAATACTCCATATGCCCACATATGCACATAGATGGAGTTTGGGGGAAACAGACCTTGACATTTGGGAGTTGTTGTTACTGGGATTTATAGTTCACCTACAATCAAAGAGCATTCTGAACACCAATGACAGAACTGGGGCAAACTTCCCACAAAGAACCCCCATGACCAACAGAAAATACTTAAGGCCATCCAGTCCAACTCCCTTCACCAGGGCAAGAAAATGTAATCAAAGCCCTCCTGACAAAGAGCCATCCAGCCATAGTTATAGATAGATATGATTCACACACAGAGAGATATAGTAACATAGATTTGAAAGGGACCCCTAAAGAAAGACAATTATATGTTGCATGTTCCAGAGTAGGCAAACCAGACAATCTCCACATCAACACTGACAAAGAAACAGCACGAAATACTGTTTACCCACAAGCAGAAAGAAATTACATATATTAGAAACCAGCACTTTCTCATTACTTTATTTTCCAGATCACCAGACTGGGCCACAGCAACGCCTGGCAGGTGGTGGCTAGTAGGAGTCTTTTTTTTTGCATCTCTAATAACCATGACTCAGATAACAATTGGAGCGACCTATCCAAACATAACCACTTGGAGGAAGTTTCCACACTTGGGAAGTCCCTAAGACAAACTGTTATAGCACATACCTTGAATTCCCTCTGTATCACTCCAAAACCTTGAGGGTTTCTATAGACATCTGGTACTGGAAAAGACAGGTCAAGCTCCAGAGCTATGCTCACACCTACCTCATTCCTCCCTATGATTTGTGAGGCTTTCCTCTATTACTGGTAAGTGACAACAGCTGCACTGTGTTTGTCCACAGGGCAACAGGTCTGCCCTTTCATTACTTCTGTGCTGAACTGGGATAGATAATCACACTCTGTTTTAATAGCTAACTAGCTGAACATTTCAGCAAAGCTGACACTCTGTTATAAAGCATCTCTAACCAACAATTTCTTTCCCCCTGTACATTCATTACAGATGCTTCCGTTGCATTAAAAATCGCCAACATATATTTTATCCAGCTTGATAAAGGTCATATTCTACTCTGTCTTTTAAAGAAGAAATCTAGCACTTATCTATTTCAAAATCCTCATTCCATGTTGTCTCCTCGTGCATTAAAACACTTCTCTTCCATTCTCAAAGTATCTGCTGTAACTGAGCTACAAAATCACTTTTCGATCAACGTTAGCTGTTTCAACAGTTTGTCTTTGGCCCAACACCTCCAAGATGATGGCAAACACCTGCAAACAAAAATGTGTTTGCTCTCTCACACAGAATGACATTACTCAGTGGTCAATGAAGGGTCAGGATGAGGTGATGGATGGGAGAGAAAAAATGTACCCATTAGACCCCATATTACCCACTCCTGATATAGAATCCTAGAGCTAGAAGACACCCCCAAGGCCCATCCAGTCCAACCCCCTTGCAGGAAGGCACAATCAAAGCACTCCCTATAGACAGCCTCTGTGGAAAAGCTTCCAGGGAAGGAGACTCCTCCACACTCCCAGGCAGCCTAGGCCACTCTCCAGGAAGTTCTTCCTAATATTTTCACTCACATCTCTTTTCCTACCATGTGAACCCATTGCTCTCTTGTGCCCTGGTCTTCAGAGCAACAGAAAGCCAGTATTTTTCCCCTCCTCCTCCCCAAAGGGACACCCTTTTAAAACTTTTAAAATCTGATTCCCCTGTTCCCTCTCTACCGTCTCTTCTCCCAGCTAAACATCCAACAGGAGGAAAGGATGAAGGGAAAAGAGAAGGACGGACGGAAGGAAAGGTGGAAGGGAATGGAGGGAGAGAAGGGGAGAGAAAAAAGAGAAAGAAGGAAGGAGAAAGTGAAGGAGTGAGAAAGAGGGAAGGAAGGAAGAAAGGGTGAGAGGGAATGGAGGGAGGGAGGAAAGAGAGAAGGAAGGAAGGAAGGAAGGAAGGAAGGAAGGAAGGAAGGAAGGAAGGAAGGAAGGAAGGAGAAAGAGAGAGGAGTGCGAAAGAGGGAAGGGAGGGAAGAAGAGAAGGATGGAAGGGTGGGAGGGAATGGAGGGAGGGAGAGAGGAAAGAGAGAATGAAGGAAGGAAGGAGAAAGAGGGAGGAGCGAGAAAGAGGGAAGGGAGGGAGGGAGAAAGAGAAGGATGGAAGGAATGATGTGATGGTGAGAGCGGAGGGCCTGAGAGAAGTGCTCAAAGGGCCACATACAGCCCCCTGGGCCTGGGTCTCCCTTAACTGCTATAGTACAATAACAATAATAGAAATATAGGTTTGTTCGACAGGCGTGAAGCACTTCTGCTATGCCTGTGGTGTAGCAAGGTCACAAACAAAGCCAGCAGAGGTATCATTTTGGGCCACCATCTGGGGTTTTTTTTTAATACCAACTCCATATTTTCCACATTCTGAATAGATTCCTTTTCTTTGTGCATGTCACCATCCCTCTGTTTGCATTTCAGATTTTGTTGCCAAAGGAAAAAAAGAAACAAACAAAACAAAGGCTCCTCACTCTTCTTCTGCCAAGCATACCACACACTTATTTGTAATGTCAAATGCTCGGCTTGCTTCGAAAGAAAGCGCATGGCTACAGTTGCATTTTGTGTGTGAATAACTTTTCATTTCCCTTTACTATTAACCTATCCAAGCATTACCAAAGCAGGCTGATCAAGCCAGGCAGACAGAGGGCTTCCTCTTTGCTTCTCCAAGAATGTTAATTTGCTTGACTGCGTATCTCTATTCCACGGGGCTCCCTTGTTCACTTTCATATGCTTCACTGCCAGAGCTGCTGGTCACATTCACTAAATACATCCCTACATCCAGCTTCCTCTTGACAGACAAATGAAGAAAAAAAAGGATGTGAATTTTGAAAAACGTCTGAAATGTACATCTCTTGTGGGACCAACAGCTCACAAAATATAAACCAAGCGGTACCGAAATAGAGGCAGTTGAACACAAATTGATTGAATTCCTTGACATTTCGAAGTGATGGGATGCAAAAGATGGGCCAATTGCCATGACGACAACCCCAGCAAGCTGGATTTCAGGGCATACACCAAAAGCTACGAGATATATGTCATGGTGGGAATACTTGTCATTTTTCTTTGGCCAGGCCGATCCTTCTTCATCAAGCCTTTTCCTACACTTCACTGCCAAGACATATTTAGAGAGGAGCAGTTGAATAAATACGGAAGTGGGAATTCACCAAGTTTGGGAGAAAACTGTCCTAAAGGAGATCACACACACACACACAAACACACACACACAACTCTTATATATTGTCAAAGGCTTTCATGACCAGAATCACTGGATTGTTGTGAGTTTTCCAGGCTGTATGGTCATGTTCCGGCAGCATTCTCTCCTGACATTTCACCCACATCTATGGCAGGCATCCTCAGAGGTTTTGAGGTCTGTTGGAAATTAGGAAAATTGGGTTTATATATTTGTGGAATGTCCAGGGTGGGAGAAAGATCTGTTGTCTATTGGAGGTAGGTGTGAATGTTTCAATTGGCCACCTTGATTAGAATTGACAATTTCAACAGAAAGGAAGAAACCATAAAAATGAACTAAATCTGGCTACCATTATTAAAAATATATCTAAAATCATAACAGTAAATAAAGAACAACAGTCCAAAACAGGGGAACTCCAGAAAAGAAACAATCAGGGACAGCTAATCACCTCTCAACAAAGGATTACCCTAGGCGGTAAGAAGTCACACCTGGAAACTGCTAGACCATTAAATTCTAATCAAGGTAGCCAATTGAAACATTCACATCCAATAGATAAGAGTTCTTTCTCCAACCCTGGACATTCCACAAATATATAAACCTAATTTTCCTAGTTTCCAACAGACCTCACAACCTCTGAGGATGCCTGCCATAGATGTGGGTGGAACTTCATGGCCAGACAGTTTAAAAAAACTTACAACAACCCATACATAATTTTGGTGCAGTTTACAAGCAGCATGCTTCTCTCAATATTCTACTATTTTAAGTCACATCTATATAAATAAAAATGTAATGTTTGTTTGTAGGATTAACATAACTCAAAAATGACCAGGTGAATTTACATCAAATTTGGAGACAATACACCTATCACACCAACAAGTGACCATCACTCATAAAAACACTGAAAAACTAAATGGAAGAGACTTAAAAAGCCAAACAATAAAATACATTACAACGCATGTGCAAAACCACACATATATACGCAAACAAACATATACACACACACACATATACACACACATACACACACACACAAAACACGTATACACAGACTGGGCCACAGCAACGTGTGGCAGGGGACTGCTAGTCTATATAAATAAAATGTAATGTTTGTTTGTGGGATTAGCATAACTCAAAAGCCACTGGCCAAATTGACACCAAATTTGGACACAAGACACCTGTCAGGTCAACAAGTGACCATCACTCATAAAAACACTGAAAAGCACAGTGGAAGGGACTTAAAAGCCAAAAAATAAAAAAATAGATTACAACGCATGTGCAAAACCACATATATAAATGCAAACACACACATATATATACACACACAAAACACATATACACAGACTGGGCCACAGCAACATGTGGCAGGGGATGGCTCGTACCCAATAAAACCCAACTAGAAACATCAAGAATAAATTAAATGGAAGGGCAAAAGTAACCGAAGAAAATGCAAACATGTCCAAAAGAGAAACCCTTTTAACCCTCTTTAATGGATCCTTTTCCACTACACTAGTTAATTTCCCATCCTACCAATTTTGGTTCCACTTTTTGTATTTTAATCTGCCCATCATTTCCACTTCATTTTCCTGTAAGATACATTTAGAACCTTTAGAAATAAAAGAGAATGAAACAAGGAGTGTTTCAGCAAAAGGACCACCATTCACCTTAAGGAGTTCGTAGTGCTGAATGCCATTTACTCCAATGTCAGGATCAACCGCCGACGGGACGGAATAGCGGGAATTGATGGCTGTATTCTCCGGGATGGAGATATTAATGACCGTCGATGGGAAAAGGGGGGCGTTGTCATTTATATCCTCAATCAGGAACCTAATCTTAACAAGCCTGAAGACTTCATCAGGCAGGACAGCAACTTCCACTTCATAAAAACAGCGGTTCTCGCTGAAAATGCCGGAGCAAAGCTTTTCTCGGTCAATGCGGTTGGAGGTGGTGAATATTTCTCCTGAATTTTCCTCCACACGGACAAGTGGGACATCTCCGGTCTTGTACACCAGCTTGAATTGAAGAGGCGACGAGAGGACCACATCAGGATCTAGGGTCAAGTTGAGGTCCTTAAGCAAATTGCCAATTAGGACATTTTCTGGCAGTTCCTCCCGCACTGTGTAATTCTTCTCCTGCGCACCAGACTGGAACACGATGGAGGCTAATAAGACTGCCAAAAGGTAGGTCCTGGAAAGCAAGTCCATCTCCAGAACGGCTGTGGGTTGTTCCACCAAACACCAAGAAGAGCTGGAAAATAAAGAAGAAAGGACAACATACAGGTTAAGAACATGTCATGAGAAAAAAAACAACAATCTAAAATGAATTCCTCCCCTCCCTTTATGGGAAAGTTGGATGCTGGGGAAAATAAGTGTTTATAATATGCTCAGTGTTGCTTAAGTTTACATTTTCCTTGCAGTCTAACTATTACCAGATTCCAAACAATTGCAACAGAAAACAGTGACAGACTACTTTGTGCAAAGCTACCAGCCTCCCACACATTTTTGGAACGCTAACTATTCCAGGTCTAATCGACAAGATTGCAGAGGCAGGTCTCTCTTCCTTCCAATTCAAGTGACAGGTGGAGAGAAACATGTGGCAATTTCCACGATGAACTGAAAGGTTGCAGACTTGAGAATTACTAATGTTATTTGCTACTGCTGTATTTTGATGACTAGGGTGGGATGAGGAGAGGAAGCAGTGAGATCTTCACCTTAGGTCAGCGTTTCTCAACCTTCCAAATGCTGTGACCCTTTAATATAGTTCCTCTTGTTGTGGTGACCTCCAACCATAACATTATTTTCATTGCGACTTCATAATTAATTTTGCAATTTTGCTACTGTTATGAATTGTAATGTAAATATTAGATACGTAGGGTGTATTTTCATTCACTGGACCAAATTTGGCACAAATACCCGATACGCCCACATCTGAACACCACTGGGGTTGGTTGGGGGGGGGTTGATTTTCTCTTTTGGCAGGGTTACTGGTAGGGTTGCGGGGATTGATTTGGTCATTTGGGAGTTGTAGTTGCTGAGATTTATAGTTCACCTAAAATCAAAGAGCATTCTGAACTCTACCAATGATAGAATTGAACTAAATTTGGCACACAGAATTCCCATGACCAATAGAAAATACTGGAAGGGTTTGGTGGGCATTGACCTGGAGTTTTGGAGTTATAGTTCACCTACATCCAGAGAGCAGTGTGGACTCAAACAGTGTTGGATATGGACCAAGCTTGGTACAAATACTCAATAGGACCAAATCTGAACACTGGTGGAGTTTGGGAGAAATAGACCTTGAAATTTGGGAGTCGTAGTGGCTGGGATTTATAGTTCACCTACAATCAAAGAGCATCTTGAACTCCACCAACGATGGAATTTAACCAATCTTGGCACACGGAACTCCCATGACCAAAAGAAAATACTGGAAGAGTTATTGGGCAATGACCTTGAGTTTTAGAGTTGTAGTTCAGCTATATTATCCAGAGAGCACTGTCGACTCAAACAATGATGGATCTGGACCACACTTGGCACGAATACTCAATATGCACAAATGTGAGCACTGGTGGAGTTTGAGGAAAATAGACTTGACATTTGGGAATTGTAGTTGCTGGGATTTATAGTTCACCTATAATCCAATCGCATTCTGAACCCCTCCAATGATAGAATTGGGACAAACGTCCCACACAGAACCCTCATGCCTTGAAGAGATTCGTTGGTGTGAACCTCCCTCCAGCCTCACACACTCTCCCTCGCCCACAAATGTGCACCATGCTGCCATGCGCCAAGCATGCCTGCTTTGCCCTCTCCCCTTGGAGTCTCAGAAACAGCCCTCCCCTTGGCTGAGAGGCCAGCCAATCATATCATGGGAGGGCTTTTGGTGGAAGGACTCACCGTTTGTTTCCAGAAATGAAGAGAAGGACAGGAGGAGAGATCTTCAGCCTTCTCTGCCAAATAGGTTCCTAAAACCATCAGAAATATATGTTTTCTGATGATATTTGGCGATACCTCTGAAACCCCTTCATGCTCCATCCAGGGGTCCTGATCCCCACAAGAAATGCTGCCTTAGGTGCATAAACTACCCAACTGCCTTTGGGTACCCTGTGCATTGTTGTTCTAAATGCCATTAAGTTGGGTGTGCAGTAAAATTACCAACTAGAGGAAGTTGGTGGAATTCTTTTTATTGGCATCAGCAGTGGATTTTCCTCAACACATCTTACCTCCCCTTCAGCTCAAATGAATTTTTCTAACTCATTTCTCCAAAGAGGCAAAAAAAAAAAGTGAGAATAATTTCCATCACCGACAAAGCTTTTTAGTTTTGTTCTTCTATGGGCGTAATTTGCTCTGAGTAGTCACATTAAATCACTTTTTAGGAACAATTTAGGTGGGATATTATTGTACGTAATAAAGGAACCAATTGCACAAACCTAATATGCACACATTCTACTACATTCCATAAAAAAATGTGTGTGCGCGTGTGAATCCATCAAAAGAAAAGCAATGTGTTTCCTTAATTCCTATGCACACACACATATAGGTATTTTCATTTACATTGCCTGCTCCTATTTGCAGGCTCATATTTTCCAGAGCCATCCTCATACAGCATTACTCATTCAGCAGTGAATGGGCCATATAAATTATGCTTAACAAAATCCAGCCTACTATAAAATAAGAATGATTGAAATACTGAACTCATATGAGCAGCCATTTACTGATGTGAAGTGTTTCACTAATAGGTGCTTAAATGGCAGAACAGTGCCACCAGTTTTCATATTAGTGTAGGCATTTGACTGTTGTTCCTGCTTAACGTATTATGCGAGAGTGGGATAATACACCCAGCACAATTCAAGATGCACTGTCCTCTTTAGCAGCCATAATTGCACCAAAGCATGGGAATAGAAACTATTGCCGTTTATGTTATCGGAGATAGATGGCCATCTTCATGGCAACTCACAGCACCACCATTGATGGCAAAGCAAGTCCCTGAACGAACCCTGAAAGGTAGTTCATGGCCAGAATCACTGGGTTGTTGTCAGTTTTTTGGGCTATCTGGCCATCTAGAAGCATTCTCTCCTGACATTTCACCTGCATCTATGGCAGGCATCCTTAGAGGTTGTGAAGTCTATTGGAAACAAGGTTTATATATCTATGGAATAACGTCCAGGTAGGGAGAAAGAACTCTTGTATGTTGGATGTAGGTGTGGATGTTTCAGTTGGCTACCTTGATTAGCATTTGATGGCTTGACACTTTCTAGGTGTGGCTTGTTAGTGCCTGGGGGAATCCTTTGTTGAAAGGTGATTCGTTGCCCCTGATTGTTTCTTGTCTGGAGTTCCCATGTATTTGAGTGTTGTTCTTTATTTATGGTCATAATTTCCAACAGACCTCACAACTTCAGAGGATGCCTGCCATAGATGTGGGTGAAACGTCAAGAGAGAATGCTTCTAGAACATGGCCATACAGCCATGGGGAAATCCTTTCTTGAGAGGTGATCAGCTGCCTCTGATTGTTTCTTGTCTGGAGTTCTCCTGTGTTTGAGTGTTGTTCTTTATTTATAGTGTTCCAATGTGCCTTCCCAGAAAAAGGAAACTCCAAGCAATATGTCCCAAATGCACTTTACTAGAGATCTAGAATTGCCTGCATGCCCCGCCTATCCCTAAAATATTTACCCTATTTCACCTGATCATGCCCAGCACTTTTAAAGATTTTAAGCACTACATTTGGCCCTGCCACAGGTTTTAATGCACTGCGGTGTTATTGTTTATTTTTTTGCTTTGTTTATGAGTTTTTTATTATTGTATTGTTGTTGTGTTTTACTGATGTATTTGAGATTGACCTCTTGTAAGCCGCACCGAGTCCTTCGGGAGATGGTAGCGGGATATAAATAAAGGTTTATTATATATATATAGTCCCTACTTTGCAGATTTTCACTTTTCATGGATATATAGTGTGTATTTATGTATATATATATGTGTGTGTGTGTGTGTGTATGTATGTTTGTGTGTGTGTGTGTGTGTATATATATATATATATATATATATATATATATATATATATACCCACACACCCACACACTATATATGTGTGTGTGTGTGTGTGTGTTCCAGGACCATCCGCGAAAAGTAAAAATCTGCAAAGTAGGGACACTATATATATACTTTGCAGATTTTCACTTTTCGTGGATATATAGTGTATTTATGTATATATGTGTGTGTGTGTGTGTGTGTATATATATATATATATATGTGTGTGTGTGTGTATATATATATGTATATGTATATATGTGTGTATACACACACACACACATATATAGTGTCCCTACTTCGCAGATTTTCACTTTTTGTGTATATATATATATATATATAGTGTGTATGTGTGTATAGTGCCCCTATTTCGCAGATTTTCACACACACACTGTATACACACACACACATATATAGTGTCCCTACTTCTCAGATTTTCACTTTTCGAGGATGGTCCAGGAACATAAGACCCGTGAACACTGTACTTTACTACAGTTTCTACTAAATTGCTGACATTACTGCCTGCAGTAAACCAACAGAACTGGGCTATGGCACACTCTCAGGTCAGCCCTTTTCCTCTTCATTCCCATTATGAAAAGTGGGGGAAAGGCTTCACATGTACATTCTAATGGAATCATAAACAGGGCATGAAGGAAAGGTGCAACCCTAAGTACAATTCCCATAAATGAACTCTAAAAAGATTAATGGGCCTTAAATGAAAAAAGGAAGGTTTAAGGTGGAAGTATTAATGTGCAATATAATAGTTCGCCTCCAGAAATTTAACAGGTAGAGACAGATTGTGTTTTGTCATTTTGCGCCAGCTGTCCTCCAGTTGGCTCTGAACCACTTAACAGGTTAACACTCTTCACGTGTGATTCGAAGTCAGGGACTGTCAACTTTTGATCCTTCCAGCTGTTTTTGCATTTCGGCTCCCAGAAGCCTCTAGCAACATGTCCAATGGTGCAAATGCTCATAGCAGAGACATAAAAAAAGGGGATATGTACAGCGTAGAATTTGTTTCGGTGGCCATAAATCAACTCAGTGATGTAAGGAAAGATAAGCTCGTGCTCAGTCTTCTGCCTGCAAAATGGGGATGGTACCATTGACTGCCTGGCTAAGTCTTAAGGAGCATATGCAACAAATAATGCACAGAGAAATTTTAGAAAAATGCTACCCATTTTTGTTCTGGTCTCCAAGCCTTTTAAAGAAAGTATTTATTACATCTTC